CATGTATTCAACCCCACTTATGCCTTCTACTACCCCATTGGAAGCCTCGGGACGCTACAGTCACATAATCAAAGCCTTACAACGCACACCTTAACCCTTAGCCTCTAGTCAGTGACCAAACGTATAACCGTTGTGGTCCTAGTGCTCCGCAAAGTCTAATTCAGGGCGTTAATTCGGAGGAACTACAATGACAGCATAGGATAAACATGTGACTTTACACTCATTTATCCATATTTTGTGTGTAAAACCGTTTTTTTTTGCAATTAAACTATGGCAAAAAACCATTCCTGTATTGTATAAAAAGATATGTCACTAAAGTTGCCCAACTGGCTGCTTTCCAGTTCATGCTGTCGCCTAAATAGATGTAAGTAAACAAATTCGGTACCAAACCATGCCTATAAAGCGCTTACAGAAGATATAAGATTTGCCTTTAGAAAGATTAAAGAACATTTGCGAAGAGTTATTCAGGCACATTTAAACATACAAGAATAAAGGGGCATCATTGATTCAGCAGAGAACAAAAGCTTTAAGAAATATTTTTGCCGGAAAATATTACAGGGTAATCCTCTTAATCATCGTGCATGTAGTGTCCTGGACCTTCCCATTAAATTGAAGAGGGCATTAAGTAGGGATGAATGCATTCATCCAAGAATAAAGTAGCGACTGAGCTATGGATTGGTTCAAAGACCAGTCTAGGCAAACAAGGGGAGTACGAAGACCAAAGCAACCGATATTCATCTAGGCGGTCACATAAACAAAGTAACATATTGCTCTTCTCATCTTTCAGGTTACGGTTTTGGCAATAATCCTTGGTATACCTTCCACGTTAGTCATTACAGTATAACCTGTGCTGCAGGGAAACACCCAAGAGTCAGCCGCTCCAGCCATCAACATTACACAGGCGCAGAGCCTTTGATACTTTGTTTGTGTGACCACATGACGTTTGGCGGTAACTTTAGGATTTGTCTGGCCCTTGTACAGGTGAGCTGGCCTTTGGGTCATCTCCAGGCCCAATTGTCCTGTCGCCTTCAGAATATATGTATCCAGCTGCGCTTACTGACTTCTCATTATCACTGGGAGGTCTCGGGTCGCTACAAAGCCAGGTGAAGACAAAGTATGAACTCTTTCGATGTGAAGCCTTAAAGGATTATTAGCTCAAATTGCACGTTTTTTTTGGACTGTAGAGATATCTCATATGTGATAAACTTTAGAATATAGGTTGTAACAAAGTCCGGTCCGCTCTTTTTGTTACTACTAATGTAGCCTTCGGAGACTCCCCACAAAATAGGAAAATGTAGTAAGTTGGGATGAATACATTTATTCAGGGAAGAAAAGAAAGATTTAGGCAATGGCTTGGTCGAAGGCCAGCCACTACGCACAAGGGCAAGGCAAATGACAGTGTGTCTGCCATTTATGCACGCTATTCCATAAACAAAGTCACATCGTTCAACGGTGACTGCAGTACTTTGATTTTGGGGCCATCCGATACCTGGAAATTACTTTAATATTCGTCTTGCACTCATAAAAGTGGAATGAATTCCAGGCCAAGCCAGAGCTCAATCTTCATTGTTCCCACCTTAATGTGTTCTTCTACTGGGTGAAAAGTCGCAGGGAACTGCTGTGACTGTGTTTGGCAAAAAGGGAATTGAATTCGCATTACGTATTCAGTGTAGCCATAACTTTACACATGGATTGCATTTTAATCTGTCATTAAAAATTACTATAAATTAATAATGCCTTTTGGGTATGGCCATGTTAGCTCCATCCGTCCCTGATTATCAAAATTAATTGTTTTATTTTGTTATTGGATCGGTGCGTGCATTTTGATCTGTGCTTTCTAATAATGTCCAGTCAGTCTGCTTCTCTTTTCCATGGTCTAGCAAGTGTAAGCCTTCTACATAACTATTTGGGTGCCGTAATCTTTAGTGTTTTTATGTTTCAAAGCTAAATTTCAACGTAAAGAATCTTTGTGCGTGGGTAGAGTATTTTCAAGTGCAGGGCTGAAAACTTGCTCCATTCCTTTTACCTTTTAAACATAAATCATTAGCTCCGACTAGTTAGTAACATCCATATCAACAAGTGCTTTTTAATGGAAACTTACTTGCTGAATCTCCAAATCCTATTTATGCGGTTCCAGGTAGTGATAACAGGAAATAATTTGAATATGTTTTACTTTACACTCTTTTCATCTGCACTTGGGATGGATAACTGCTGTTGATTTTGGTTTTAGTATAAATATCGGGATGCTGCGAGGGCCGATATCGAAAAAGCGTCTCGGGCTTATCACAGCCTTCAAGTGAAGCTGCAGAATTTTAGTAAGGCTGAATAGCCATATTAACCGCTTTTTAGCTTTTGAAAATGGACAGACGAGCAAGCTTCTTTGTTTGGAGGGTACCATCCCCGTCAGATATATGGGAAATGTGTACAACATCCCATTGGCTGTTTATTTTGTTTATCAACACCCTTACCACCCTCCTATCGCATATGTACGTCCCACCTCGAGTATGGAGATCAAGGCGGGTCCAAACGTTGACACAAATGGGAAAATTTTCCTCCCTTACCTCTCAGAATGGAAATTTGTAGGTGTATTGATGGCTTGACCAGATACTTGTGTCATGCTACATTTCAATCTGTGCAATGTTTTTGGCAGCCGGGTTCATCAACACAAAACCTCTTGAAGATTCTTCAGGACGTGTTTGGTGATAGAACACCGGTCTTTTCCAAGCCAAATGTCAGTCAGAACACTCCCGGCTATGTTGGATTCAACACTAACCTAACGTGTATGTACCTATGTATCCCCTAATGCACTATTGTCCAAACCCTTAGTTTCTGTCCTAGTGTTCATGCTTCGTATGCTGAACAAGTCATAAGCGGTGTTTATGCACTGATTAATTTTCAATTTTTGAGCTAATAGACGCCGTCATTTACGACCGAAACTTAGTTGCCATTGCTGTATTTCGGTGCAAAACATATCAGCGTCAGTTCTGTGCATCTCGACGTATAAGAAATGTTTATTTTTATCTTTAAAATGAAGTGAATTGTTCTTGAACTAATCTACATCGATTCATGGTAAACAGTTATCATTGCCAATTTATAGTGGCATCCGTTGTCTCAGCCACTATTCGGTATTTGCTGCAGAGTATTTCAATTTTTGTGTGATTAACGCCGTCACGTGTCATTTCATTTACAAACGCGTTGTCACTCTTGAGCTCGGAGGGACTTTCACAGCTTCTTCCAGCTGTTGAACATTGTATACTATCCTAACTTTTCATTGGTTATATGGTATCCTCCAACATTGTGCAGTGAACTAACGTTACACTACAATTTCAACTGCTTCACCGACGTCTACCGAACGCAATTTTTAAGTTTGCCTCCAAAGTTAGACGTTGAGTATGGCACGAACTCTAAACGCCATAATTTCACTGTATAGTGGTGGGGGCTTTATCTGGGCAACTTTTTTCTCATCTTTTTTCTTAAAGCCTCCAACGGTTGCGCCTATGGGATGCCAGGGGCGGGCTGGGGAGGAATGCCAGGTCTACCGGGGTCTACTAATCCCTCTTCGAGTGGAAGTGCTACGCCACAGTCCTCTCTTTTTGGTGCAGCCATGCCTCCCATGCCCTCTGTCTCGTCCGCGTCAGCGTTTTTGGGCAGCGCCACCGGCTTCCCTACAGGTACGATCTTTTCTTACTTGACGCATTAACCAGGTGATGGCTTTTAACGGTTAGTGGTGGTGAATGATTTTGTACGTGCTTATGTGCGTTCTTGACTTCCAAAAATAAACGCTTTTATTAGTTTGTTATCCAATGAATTCTCCTTCATAGAGTGGACTTGCATAGATGGTTAAATGGCAAGTAAAAAAAATGCTATTTACGGCAGCGATTTTATTAGGCTTACCATTTTCGCTGATCTTTATTCTCTCGATAGAACTTTTATCCCTTACTCCGCAGCCTTAGTCATTGAAAAGTCGTGTTGACTGGCGGTGGAGAGGCTCACATCATATTGTGTGCTCTTAAATGTAACTGCAGGACGTTGTGTAATCAATTGATTCGCAGCTTTTCTGAATCTTGAATGCTTGATTTGATGAGTAGCCTTTCGGACGATTGAATTGAAGGTTTCGTATCGATGGATTTTGAATCTACCATGGGTTCTAGCCGAGATCGGTCACAAATATTTTTTTTGCATTCACGAGCATTGTGTGGTCCATCCTAGCATAGCATTTTTAAACCGTAGCATTTACATTACTTATGATTGTGGCCTTGTTGAATTCGCTGCCTTTTTCTCTTCAATAGGAAATTCTTGCTCGAATGAATCCTTTGATTCAGTTTAATTCTAAGTGCTAATTTGCGACGTATGAGAGTTTGGGAAATTTTTTAGTCGTGATGCGTCTGATTACTTTCCTGGTTTGTTTTCAATAAATTTTGTCGTGCCATCTCACCTTAGTGCATCCAGCATTCGTTGGCGAGGCTCCTTAAGACTCCTTCACTTCATTTTCCACTTTAATAGTATGGAATGGATAAATTATTAACAGTGATACCTTCGATACCGATTCCTTCGGTTGACTTTTCGAAACCTTAAGCTGGATGAAGTGTTTAATCAACCACTTCAAATCAGCCGGACAGGCTAATTCCGCAACCTAGTGCTCTGAGAAGCCGGAATTTCGTTGTTTGAGGAAAATTAATCCAGGACGAGTCACATCAGTTGATGTAACTCATCGTTGAGGTCAGGGCAAGAGCTACCCCTGTGTCTTCACGTCCGTTCTTTTAAACACCTGTAAAACAGCCAAATGCTCTACCTGTAGTCATAGTTGAATGCCTGTTGGCAATACTATAATACCTGACTTGCAAGTGCTTCCATCGCAGGTGCGGTATCGGAAGAAGAGCAATTGCTGCTATCACTTCGATCCGCTGTCGTGGATAAGTTGAACAATGTCCAACGCGAGGTGGTGGACGATTTGAGTTGCAAGATCCAGTCGCTTGAATCGACGCAGAAGGATCTTATCTCACGCGCCGATAACCTCGATACAATCAGAGCACAAATGCTCTCTGAGTTGGTAAGTGTCTCTGTGTTCACCTCTTGTCTTACTGGGTAAATTGCATTATTGCTCTCTCTTTCTTCCATAGGAACAGATACAGTCTCTGACGCGGGAATTGGGAGATAAGGCGGAAGAGTACAAGGAAATCTACCGAAAGCTGAAACAGGAGGCAAACGTCAAAGTGGACTATGACTCGGTCGTCGATACCACAACGCCTGTCTATCGGCAGTAAGGTTTCACTGCTTTATTGGATCTTATTGAGTCAGTGTCCCCCGAAACTGTTTTTAATCCAAGTGTTGAAACAATCCACTATTACGTTCAAAGTTGTTATCTCGTTGGTAGCTTATCAGGACTGTTAAAAGCGTGGAGATTTGGCAAGTCTTTTTTTGACCTTTGGCAGTGATGCGCATTTCTTCGAGTGCATCTTGTAATTTGGTTGTTTTTTTATCAATGATGAACCGTTTAATGACTATTGTGAGTGCATGTTTTGATCTGACCCTGCAGTATTCGCTGCTGAAGTCCTTTAGTGGTGTCATTTTTCTCTCGTTCTGTTCAGCTACCCACAATAAACTTCCGACCAAAACCAGTTATCTCTTTCGAAACCTCACTTAACCAATTTACTTCATAGTCTGGTTCGTCGGCGAAAACATTATTACCCTTATTATCGCGTCTAGCGGTGTTGTTGCAAAAGGTCTTCCCACCTTATTTTCGAGATGGGAGAGGCGTGCGTAATTTATGTGCTTGAACTCAGGCAACAGTTCGAGTTGTTTGGGGTGCTTCAGGATTTTTGTTAGTATTTTATGCACGATTTAGAAGCAATGAACTTCTCTCTTTTCTGTGTTCACCTTAATAATAGTAATAACTCTTTTGGTTTGCATAATACATTCTATCAGTAAAGTCAAACTCCTCAATTGCTGCAGTTTAAGATTGTCATGAGCTTAGACCTCAGTACCATTTAATCGTTAAGGGAGGGGCTTTGAACGGCTAATTTCAAGGTCCAATCAATTTTTCGGTTGATGATATTTGCAGCTTTAGGACAAAGGGGGGGGGTATTCGAGGTTTTGAAGCTCAAACTGAATCCTTATTGTCCACTTTTTCATTTACTCTAGGCTGGTTGAAGCCTTCGCAGAAGAGCAAGCGATCGGGGACTTGCTCTACTACCTTTCACAGGCTCTGGAAAATAATGCCATCAAATTGGAAGACTTTCTCAAGGTGAGTCTTTAAATTCTGCCTATCACCCTTTGCAAACAAGTGGGTTCGTCTGTGGACTCTGAAACGGCAATAAGCCGGCCCTTTTAACTCTATATACCCTTGTACGATTCGTCCTTAAGGTCGTGCGGGATCAATCGCGGAGTCAATTTATGAAACGCGCCATGGTGTGCCAGTGCCGAGCCAAAGCGGGTTTGCCCTCGGTGTAGATTAGCCGAGAAGCCTCCCAGTCGCTGGGGCCCTTATTGATTCGAATCTGCGATAACTTATTAGTCCCACTCTCCCATCCTTTACTCCATATAGCCCACTGTCTCTTGTACACCTCGCATCTTTCATGTTTCCTACGTCGAAAAATCCTATTTGCATCTGATGTTCAGACCTTCCATTCATCCCTAATAGCTTCCGGCACAATTTATTTAATATCAGTAAGTGGTCTTCTTTTGCTCTAGTTTCTGTTCTAGAGTCGCTTGATGCGTTTGAGGCGTGCGGTTGTCTCATTCCCGTTAGCATTATCCTTAATGTGGTGCGTTGTTAACTTGAAATGGCGTTAGTGTGAACAGCTAAATCGCTGTTTGTATGAATGTGGGTGGGCTAGGTTTGTCAAGTTGACTCTGAGTGTCATCGTAGAGTGCCTCATCATGCGCCTTCGAACTTGATTTGGTGGGGCGAGGGTGGATGTCGAGGAGGATCAATAAGCGCCAGAGGCATCGAAGCAGTTTCAGAAGAGGCTCTGAGGGACACACTTACCCTATTCTAGCGTAAAAGTGCATGGGACTGGCTTCAAGGTTGTCTTATTGCTATTTTGATTATTTAGGGCCGGAGAGATAATTTGGTCACAAAATGGGATTGGATGGGTGGGGAATGTACGTCGATTCCGTCAATGATTAAGTGATTACGAGAATTGTAATGCTTTGTTTATGCGACTATCTGACGTTTGGCGGTCACTTTAGGACTTGTCTGGGCCCTGTACACGTGGGCTGGCCTTCGGGTCGCGCTCAGGCCCCATTTCTCCTAATGCTTTCGGAATACATGTATTCAACCCCACTTATGCCTTCTACTACCCATTGGAAGCCTCAGGACGCTACAAGAATAACTTTGGTTGATGCAACTCAACTGCATGAATACTTTAGTATTGGCGGTGGAAAATCTGAAGTGACTCAGGTCCTCATGTGATTGCAGATTTGCCAGCACAAGGGTATCCAGTCAAATGCTGAAAAAAACAAAAGGTGCTACGACAACTAGCCTCAAATAATACCATTAAAATATTTGTTCATGTCACCTAGAATCTTATTTATGTGAACCCTTAACTTGTGCGCCATTACTCCTATCTAAATTCGCAACAGATTTATAAAATTCATTAAATGATTTAGGAGTTCTTGGTTTACATTTACCTCTTTCCTGCCTGCCTCATCAGTGTTAGTTTGTATCAGTCAACATTTGGAGACAGGATCATGCGATTTTTTAAATGATCTAGTCATTGCATGTTAGGTGGTGATAGAATCATGTCGGACCCAAAATGTAGGCGACAACGCTTAGGAAGATGTTCCACAGAAAAATCGAGTGCAAAAGGCAACTCAAGATCGGTAAAAGCAATTGCCAACTCAGTGGCACAAAAAAAGGTATCTGTCAAAAGATCCAGCGCTAAAACAGTATTAAAGTTTGGTTCTGGCTCTGAGCACGATAAAGAAGAGAGGTTGGTTCAGGGGTCGCGATCGGCTGTAAGCACGAAAAAATTGAATGATACGCCTAAAGGCAGTGTAGAAATTGTCAAAATGCCAATGAGTGAATCGGAAACCAGTACAGATCGTTTAAATATGAATCCATTGCTTGAAAAAGAAGGGTATTCTCAAAATCGCAGCCTTGAGCGAGACTGTAGTTTGCCATTGGATGTCATAGTCTCTCCAAAAAAGGTGGAGTCGGCGGATGAATTCATGTTATGTGAACAAGAGTGTCAATCAGATGCACTGCCAATAAATCAGAAAACCAAGACTTTAGAAAGTCAACAGCCATCTACTTCACCAGATTATCAGTACTTTGCTATTTACACATGCAACGGAGAAGAAACCAAGCGGAATCTCACAAAACCAACACAGACGCAGCTAAAAAATGACATTGCTGAAAGTTTGAGTAACACCCTTACGTCTCTGGATCGCAAACGCCAGATTGAAAGAGGAAAAGATCTTTTACGACTTATTGAACTTGAATTAAATGATTTTCGGGAGATCTTCAATCTCCAACCAATGGACCAGTACTCTAGCTACGTTTTGCGACTTTGTCAAGTGGGGCTTACTCATGCCCAGTCGCAAACGATGGATGATTGCCTCTCAAAGGAGACACAAACTGAGAGTTCACGAACTGCTCCTTACTCATCTTGGACCCAAATTCCTCCAGCCTTCGAGGGCGGTCACTCAGGACATGTTCGCTATGCCCGTAGGTTTTCCAACTTTTGTGCACCAATATTTTGACTCAAGTTTTAATATTGCAGTTTTAGGCATCTGCTTTACGGACAGTTTTGGTAATACTTTTAAGTTGGAATTGTGCTAGTTTGTTCTTTTGATCCTTCAACTGACCAGAGATTTGACTGAACAGCCTGGACCTCATCCGTCCAAAGCAGCCATTCATCGGAATCGCCTACAAAAGGGAGACAGTTCTCTGCTTCAACATTGCAACGACTTAAGACAAGCTTAAAAACAGTACTGATGCTCCTAGAAGAGGATTGGGAAGGAAACCCCTCGAAATCTGATCAATTTACTCACAAACCACACAACTTAGTCATTCCTAATTGCGATCAGCAGACACTAGCTGAGTTGGAGTGCATTCACTGCGAGTTCTTGGACCATCATCTCCTCACTATGCATCGATTAAAGTCGGTTAGCTACTCCTTTTCAATATAAGTATTGACCTTCAGTCTCAAAGCGTGGAGTCTAGACGAGGCTATTTGCCTGGTGATGTAGTGTGCGTTTGGAAAGTCGATGACATTTCTGGACAAGGAAGCCTCGAGCATGCATTGAAGTGTCCTGGCCTTTTGCCTATGTCTGGACGCGAAATGCAGGATGTCCGTGGATGTGGAGAAGGGATAGTATCCGTATTGTCCGAAAGTAGCTTCGAATTCAGTATGGTAGGTTGAATTCGAGTCAACTTAATCATGCCTTCTACCTGAATAGATAGTAGGGGGCCTCAGTGATGGAAGTTTGGCTGTCTGGAATGTTGATTCTGAGATGTCGCCTCCTCATCAATCAGGCAATACCTCGAGGCAGAGCTCTCCTCTTCCCAAGATATTTCAGTACGCCAAGTCACCGGACTATCTGGCTTCGTTAGCATTTTCCGAGAATGACAAAAGTTCTAATCTTGGAGCCTTTCCGACCTCCCCAATCATCGCGTTGAAGTCACTAATCTGCAAATCACTCTTATCCAACAATTTTCAGTTCTGTTCCCTTGATAATAGGGGAAATGTGAATATTTGGATGGCTTTGCGTCTGCAGCCCAAAAGGAATCACAAAGTCCTTGGATCGGCCGCTGATTTGGGACTGCGACCCGGCGGCCATGCTCGTTTGATTCAGCTTGCAAGGTTCACTTATGATGCTCAATGCAGTCGTATGGTAGGGTTACTATAAATAACTTCTTTTATTACCTCCCTTTTATGACAAAATGATCTAGCTGAGGCTTTTTGTGCGTAAGACACTAAAGCACTGCAAAGCATTGTATTTATGTGGCAACAGTAAGGCTTACGCACGCATTACTATTGATGAGTTTTAAAAGGAATCGTTAATTTGTTTCTTTTTCGGAGTGGCGTGTAGGACTGTAGTCTTGCATTTGGATATTAGACCACAACAATGAAGTAACCTGAATCTATAGGATGCTGCAAAAATATCATACTTTTACTTGCAATGGATGGCTGTTTTCTGCAAGTGCACAGGTGATATCGGTACCTCCCTGTCGCCATTCACAACGTGTCTAGAAGTATACCGAACAGCAGACAGATTTTTTATTGGATCAGCTGATGGTAACATCAGGCAAAAGTGTCGTGTACCCAGTCAACATGTCTATCCCGAGGACTTCAGGCTTCCATTCACCGTCGCCGCTGTCACTTGTCTTGCTCTACACCCCCTCCTACCAAATGTTTTGATTGCAGGTGAATGCTACTTGAGTGCATATAAGTAGCTTGTTTATTGACGAAAAAATTTCTTTGCAGTGTCTCAAAAAAATGACGCTCCAAAACGGAATTTACCATTTCATCCTTTCTTGGCAAAGATATGATTGTTATTTAAAAGTATCTTAAATGGATTTGAAAATGAAATTTGAAAGTTAGGTTGCATTTATATCTAAAGTGGATCGGATTCTCCTGAAAGCCAATTGGAACGTCAAATCCGTTTTACCTAACAGTTTGACTTGTTCACTCGAAATTCTCCTCTTTTTTTAATTCGTTTGTAGGGCATCAACACATGTTGACACTCGTTTAGTGGCATTTCAGGACAAGTTGGATTTAGCATTTTGAGGTGAAGTCATGCCTATGGGGTCGCTCAATAGCGTGAATCTCGGCCCACTGATACTGTTTACGTATCATCCTTCACAGCTTTGTGCACTGGATTTCTCGTTTGTTGCCTTGAGGGCAAATTAAGTTCATCTTTTCCTTGATTGAAAGGCTACTCAGTTGTAGTAGTGTTCCTCCTCTCAGGTCGATAGTTTTAGTGAATTAGTTAAATGCTAAGAGGAGGTAGTCTTAAGTTCTTAATTTGTTGAGTCAAAGTACACCAATAAGACCTGAAATCAAGGTGTTATAAGTAGCTTGAATATAGGATCGTAACGTCGTGAAGAGGATTAAATGATGTTATACAGACCTGAAATGACACAAGATTCGGTTGCAGGTTACTCTGATGGCCAAATTGCCCTCTTCTCAACTCAACATCCACATCCCATCTTCAAATGGCTGATCAAGGTGCCATCTGATTGGCCTTTAATTGGAGTCAAAAAGGTCGTCTGGTCTCCCCATCGTCCAAGTGTAGTCTTCTGTTTAGCCACCGACGGCGATATCATAGCGTGGTCCTTACTTGACAAGGAACAAAGCATTCTGAAGCCCCGTGCCCAAACCCTCATCATTGGCTCCGTGAGAGAGCGTAAGGTGGTTGATTTCTCTGTGGCCAAAGGTCGCAGTAGCTGTCTGGCCGTCTGTTGGCAGGACGGAGCTGAAATCCACTGGTTGGAGGAAGGTTTAGTTGTAAAGCAAGAGGATGAACTTCTGGCTTTGGAAACTATCCTAAATGGCCTTCTCTGAAGCAACACAAAAACGTTCTTGCCAATGTTGTTTGTTTGTTTTGTATTTTGATTTGATACTTTGAAGAGAATGGTATCTATGTACTGTTTTAACATTTCCAGTAAATTTGGTGGCTCTCGGAAGAATTCAATTTTGTCTGAAACTCTCGTCAACCAGGATTATCGTGTGGGGAGGCTTAGCCTCCCCGCATTGTGTAGAAGTGGACGGTCTAAGTTCCAGGATGTTTGCAAACTGCCGGAGACTTTTAAAATAGAAACCATCAATCGTTTTGTTTTACGAAAATATGCTCTTGGAGAATAGTTAGTTGAATTAACACTAGAAACACTGAAACTATTATTATTATCTCTCCCGCTTCACTTTTAGCAGGCTTCTTATAAGTCTGCCGTCTATGAAAGATTTTATTAACCATCGTAGATAGCTCAAGTGATAGAGAGGTTGAAAACTTTTGCTCCTTGTCCACGTCTGAAGGCTCCTCCTCCTCCTCCTTCAACACTGCATCCTAATTTCAATCCCTCCTCCGGTCTGCGTGGCGCACTTAAACAGCTCATGTGTATTACAAGGGCATTAATCAAATAAAAGGAGAACTAGAATGTGAGCGATGTGATACTAGGAGGGTCGAACAGCTTTATTTCCTTCTCTCAGAATAGCATTTCTCGAGTGACTTATGAGGAACCATTTCTACACTCATTTTAATATCTAGAACTGCTTTAACGTGGAAAGCAGTATCCGAAAAATGGAGTAAAAGCAATAACATTCTTTGCCTGCCAACATTGGAAGGCCGTGAGAGCACCATTTACACACTGTTAGCCAATAAAAAAACCTATTTCTTATCGGTTGCCAAACAACTGGCTTCAAGTGCTCGAGACTCCAAAAAATGTTACTCTGAATGGCTCCAAAGTCTATGTAACCGGTGTCGGACATTGATTAGCAAGGTGTCGAATTTTGTCGTCTCACAAAATCAATGAAACAGTTTTGCAAGCAAAGCTGATCACGAAGTCATTTTAGAGGCAACTTTTTCTAGGGGGAGAATAATTATCACTTTGCTAGACCAAGAGGCGCTCGAAAGGGAACCTATCGAATGGCACTCAAAGGGGTGAGTGGATAATTATCCGTTTCACTTCCGGTGTAGTAGAGAAATAGTTTGGGGAAGTCGCCTATTTCATTTCTTCTTATCTTCCCTCACTCCAACACGCATCTACGCACCCACACACGCACGCACGCATGCACGCACTTAGTTTCAAGCACGTGATTCATGCTCATTGATTGGTACTCAACGGGCGTGCCTCTTCACTGACCAATCAGGTGTCAGATGCGTGCATAGTGTGAGCACAGTAACAGGCAGGAGCACCCCTTCAGAAGGCAGCCACATGCACGCCCATAGGCCACGCTCACTTGTCCAACACCCTAGGGGAATCGATTGGGAGCACATTGTCCTGCTCCTCGCCACCGATTGACCGTCTCCTCGAGAGCTCGCATGTCCCATGAACAGGGAACTGAGTGCCGCGATAAGCAGAGGCATTTTGGAGGCGGAGTTGAGGCGCCTGGACGAACAACAGTCGCCGGATTGCCTGCTGCTTCTACAAATCGCCTCTTTCGGTAAGCAGGGCGCAGACCTGGGTAGCGATGAAAGCGCCGTTTCCATGCTGACAGCCAAAATTTTCGACATTCATACTCAATCGGTAGGTATGTGTTGCAAAGTGTATGATCTAATTTGCCAACCTTACTAAATGGTTTAGATTGCCATATTGCCATTGCTTAAATTTAATAAACCATCTCCAACTTACTAACGGGTCAACACTACTTCTCGATGCATCCGATTACATTATGGTCAAGAGTTTAAGGCGAATGCCGTTGTCTACTTGAAGCCAAGATAAAATATGCACAATCATTCTCGTCTGGGTATGTAGTTTTCAGCACAAGTATGCATTAAATTGCATTTATGTCAAACCATTTATTCCGTACTGAATTCTTCATTCCTGTGAAAGCTTTCAATGCTCGTTACAACTTTTCATGTTGCTATTTCCAGCCAGCATTTCAGTTGTAGAAAAAAGCAATTGTTGGTAGAACTGGGGGGAACAGTTGAGTTGTCTGTAGAAATTTTGCCTTCTGCCTAGTGGGTTGTAAAACAAGCAATTACAAGAATTAATTTCGCAAAGTCCAAAAGCGGGGAACGGTAGTTGAAATTATTAAACTCAGCTCTAACTTCGGACTATCAAAAGCTGTAAATAATGCAAACAGACTCTGTGCTTGGTTGAGGCTTGAAAACTTAGACCTGCTCATCTCATTCGTGTTGATAAGAAGGGGAAGGAGAAGATGAGGATGATGAGCAGTACTAACAGTGTTAACGCAAAAGGAGGTTCAAAAATTGCACAAGTTATTCAAGAAAAAAGTTGCACTATTTCTGGCTCATAAATTGAGGTTGCCTTGATGGGTAACTATGCATGAACCGGTTTATTTGCCGCATACTAAATAAACTTGGGCTCCATTTTGCTGCAAACCTTCCGAGAAGCATCCTTCACCATCTACTACAGTCTGGGTCACAAGTTTACCAACCTCGTGGACGTAAAATTTGTAGTACGTTTTCGTTTTGATCCACCAATGACTGTTGAGGTTGGGAAAAGTCGAATGCACTTCGATAATAAAACATCATTTATTATGTTGACAAATGATTGTGTATTGTTGCTCTCTGCGTACAACATCCTGCACTCTGGTGATGACCTCGTTCAGCCGAATCTGCGGCACGCCTCAACTGTTGTACAGATCCAGGCTACCAAACACACGCACCATTGTAGTGCGTGCACACGCACGTCCGCACCTGTGCCGTATCCTTCAGTGCCACAAAGGCAGGACGTACAGGCTCCGGCAAGTAACAAAGTAGTGATTCCTGCCGCCGCCTTTACCACTGTAACAATGCCACCAAAATGAATGGCTTCACAAGCCAACTAACCAAGTTTGAAACCCGGTGCCAATTACCACCGATCACAGCACTCCATTCACGATCATACGTCTAGGAATTGTTGATTGTGTCTTTCTCAACAGTCCAGAAGGTGTGATTTTTGCATAAATTCGATCGGATTCAAATTCTGTTCTCTCCTCTGCATCCAGTATGGTTCGGCTTTGAACCGTCACACGGCGTTGGCAATACTGACACAGATTTTGAGGCTAGATGCTACTTCCTTTTAGCGTCTTTAAGTTCTGGACTGTTTCGGAGCTTCTAAAATTAGACTGATGAGTTGGTCAAAACTGAGAATTGCTTTTATTTACGCGCCTCGGATCAAGTGATGTGACATGTCGGTTTCTTTTGCAGATCACAGGTCCAGAATGGCAAATGTACGTCCGAGAGCCTGACACCACCTATCAGTCCGAGGCCTCGAACGATAGTGAAAAGTTGATGGAAGTCTCATGTGGCAAAGGCATGGGAATTTCGGAGGACTGTTCCAATTTTACTGGTCTTAAAGCCGCAGACCTTATTGATGCCCCGTCCCTATTGGAAGCCTTGGAATGTGTAAGTAAGGCACACTTGGTAGTTCCGCTTTCTCTTCGCTTTTCTCATCCAGTGACAAGGTTTCACTCCTATCTATGCTTTTGTGAATGAAATGAGGAAGAAGAGCTTTACCTTCCTTTGGGAAGCATAAATAATCATTCTATTTTTTTAATCATTTTCATTTTGGTACTAGCTTGATGAGTGGGTGAGGAGCCAAGGTCTCTGCCACGTTTGTGCTGGTGCTAAATCGTCAGATGTGCTAAAGAAATGCCACTTTGAGTTAACTGTTGATGGTGGAGCGGGTATGCGATTAGTTCTACATCAAACTCTTACCCAATCCATGGCCAGTACCTACGCAAGATTTCCCTACCTTTGTCGATTCATTGATTTGAAGAAGGTCTTCATGTTGGTCTATCCGGATGCTCAGTCGCCTCTTGCACTCACAGACATGATGCAAGGTAAGTTGACAATGCATCTCACAGGCCTTCAAACTGGAGTAAAAGGTTATTCCTACTTTTGTTTTATTAACTCCGTAGATTTAAATCTTCCAACTCCTGAATTTCCGCCAAGTCTCACTTCGGAACAAGCCATTTGGCCTACTGTAGTTGTGAATTCGTTGGTGAAGGACAATTCGTTGTCCGAAAAGGAGACGTCACCGTACTGCCAGGAACTGGGCTACTGGCCTCGTCTCTACTGTCGCAGTATGGCTAAACTCTGCGCCAAAATGACAGCAGATGGTAAGGCTTGACAAGTGACTCCAATTTTAGGTGCTGATTGGAGAGTGTATGAGGAAGTACATACTCAGTACCACCCAAAATTCATGTAAGTCATAGAAATCCTCTCCATTCCTTTCATATTTGTGCATTGTGTTTAATGAAGCCTAAATTTTTAAAGACAAGGGACACAGCCTAATCCCTCACTCCTCATGCCCGAAAGGTGTTTCTCATTCAAGCGAGGCACAAGCATGGCCACTTGTTTACACGGCTGGAACTCGGCATTCCGAGGCCAAGCCGCCGACACAACGTAAAGATCGTCCACAGCTTCAGAGAGACTGTGGCTACGAGGCGCAGGTGGTCACCTCTGTCGAAGTTTCGTCAATGCTGTTACGTTGTTCATGCGTTGGGAAGTCATCAACCTTGGAGCTTTTGACGATGCTTTAGTTTATCGTAATCGGTCATTAGACTCATGCAAGAATCATGAAATGCTGAATTTCGATAAGTGTTTTCAGTGATTTTATTGTTTTGAAGTAAGTGGTTATTAATTATATTTGAAGTAGGAAAGTAGGTTGTTTACTACTGACACTCGTTGAAATCGGAACATGACTTACGACAGTTCGTTTTTTGAAGTCCAGTAGAGGAAACGCACCTGAGCAATTCCTTTATTTAAATTCTAGATCAACTTTAGAATTAGTTGTCACTGCTGTAGCGTCTCAAGGCTTCCCATAGGGTGGAAGAAGGCATAAGTGAGTTTGAATGCATGTATTCCGAAGACAACAGGACAAATGGGGCCTGAGCGTGGCCCGAAGGCCGGCCCACGTGTGCAGGGGCCAGATAAATTCTAAAGGGACTGCCAAATGTCAGGTAGTCACATAATCAAAGCATTACAACAGAGTTCGAAAGAAGCCATGAAACTCAGGCAGGACGTCCGTTCCTGATGTACAATAAGGGTTAAAGAAGACTACTAGCAAGGCCCGGAGGCCGGTTGCTCGGCTGGGTAATAATTGGGCGAGGGAGGGGGGGGAGGTGGGCTGAGTTTGACAAACGACAAGGGAAATGGCCGCCGACCTTCAGCGCCAATGTTCCGGTTTTATGCGTGTCTGCAGTCAATTGTCGAAACATCGACCTGCAAGGCGAGCTAATAATTGTTGAGGAGTCGAATTCAACATTGTTCTTAGGTAGTAAGGTTTCTGCTATTCACATTCTATCCAGCCAGCATCGTAGCTGGAGAATTTATGGCGTATTCACACAGCTGAGATCTTCACACAAACATGGAAATGTTTTAAATGGCTCACAACTACAGCTTTTGTTGCTTCACATTTTTGTAGCCTTCCTGTGGGTCACAGGTCTGGGGTAATTGCCATAATTAACCGTCATTTTCGATTTTTGCTGCTGGAGGTGGTCAGGAATTCTTCCATCCGAATCACATGACCTGCCTCCTTTCAAAGCTGGGTAGTTGCTTTTGTTGGTGAGTTGGTCTTCAACTGTCTCGAAGACCAAAGAAGACAAAGTCCTACATTAAAATTGCATGTTCTCGGCACAGAGTAAGGCTAGCGGCTGCTGACATGAAACGGTGCCACGTTGCCTCCAAAACCGAATGGTAAACAAACAATTAACATGGAAGGGTAATGTTTTCACTGAAAATCGGCCAATCAAAAGCTTCGCTCTCAAAGTCACTCCAGTCAGCTCATGTAGAGAGCCTTTTTTAAAGTAAATATTGAGGATGAATTTGTGGATGCATTACTATTTTCATCTTTTTTGGTTTCTAGACGACTAATTAGTGAGGGTTAGATGAGGCACTGCGGTTTCGAATGCACAATAATTTCTGCGATACCTTCATGTTTCTTTACAATGAGATTTTGGTGTTTTTATAATTGTCGCGCTTACAAAAGTAGAATGAATTTCTGGTGCGTGACACATTATTAGGTGTGAATTTGCAGTGAAAGGAAGGCTATGGCAGGTTAAGGATGATTAGTAGCGAAAATGGTAATTCTGAAAGTCTGAACATTGAACCATAGAAGAAGTTTGCAACAATTTTGACAGGCGAAATACAGAAGTGGTGCCCGACGATGTAGTAGTGCGAGCCCGCGGTCTGCCATGGCAGACAACAGACGCGGAGGTGCAGCACTTCTTTCGTGGGCTCAATATTGCACCCGGTGGCATCGCGCTGGTCCTCAGCAAGGCCGGTCGACGCAACGGTGAGGCTGTGATTCGCTTTACCAGTCGTGAACAGCGAGATTTTGCATTGAGGAAACACAAGCACCACATGAATCAACGCTACATTGAGATCTACGCTGCTCAATCAGCTGAATTCTTTGCTGTTGCCCAAGGTGAAGTGAATAAACGACGCCTGGCTTGTAGCAGTGTATTGATACCGAAATTATATTGAAATTTGTTGTAGTACATTTTAATCTGAAGGGTTATTTGTAAGGAGGAGTGATGACTGTGTGTAGTGAACAGTCGAAGAAGTCCATCCAAAGTCTTGTACTTGGAATTAAGCATTTTTTCATGAAAAGTTGTTCCTCCTGAAGATGCTTAAATGCCTTATAAATTGTTATTTCATGATGTGATTTGCAGGTGAGACTCACGAAGCGGAGGTATACCTGAGCAGGTTTACAACTCCTTCACAGTCATTGCTACGAATGAGAGGTCTTCCGTACCTTGTGTCCGCCGAAGAAATTGTAAGTAGACGCTTAGTTTAAACATAAAGAGCTTCCACGAAACGGTCTCTTGAATCTGCTATCCATTTTGTCATACGTGATTTTATCATCTCTGCTTGATTATTATCCGTGCTGTTACAGGTAGATTTCATCGAGGCTTACAATGTGCCGTAGAGAATGGCTAAAATTGACCGAAAGTTAAAAAATTACTGTAAACCGGCCAGATTTCCAAGGACAGAGACTCTAGCTACGCAATCTCGCTGAATTTAAATCAGGTCGTTGGGGAAGTTTGTGCGGTTCTTGTGGCAAAAGTAGACAACATCGAGCATTTGCATGGAGCATTTCGTTTGTTGTAGCAGACGTCACCGCAATCTGTTCACAACTGGGGAAGGGAAAGAGGAAAAAGAGGATTGAGTGGCGCCCGTTGTATGCAAGCTTGGGGGTCCCATCTGGGCCAGGCACGTGGTGCAGTTGTTGTAGACGCCTCTCACCTCCTCACAGGAGGCATCAATTCACTTGCTGTCTACCACAAAATGCTCCAATAATGGCACTACAAATTAGCTTAAACCACTTGCATGAATGTATCCTTGTGGCAAGGGTGCTGCCTCACCCAATTGATGTATCATTCACCAGTGCAAAAAGCAATGGCATCTGTGAGTGTGCGGGTACATGGGACACGACAAGAATGCCTCCACGAGGCCTTACTTTTGCTTACCATCAAGTGCCATCGGCAATTCTGCACTGTCCTTCAGTTTGGGGGAGGAGATCTCCCGATGCCATGCACATCAAACACTCAAGTGTACCTGCATCAGAGACATAGTCAGGGAGGAATAAAGAAGCAGCTGATTTGTTTGGAGCACTCTCCTTCTTTTGCACCGATGACATGGGTGTAGCAGTGGAGGGAGAAGCGAAAATGAAACACTGACGGTGGTATCCTCGCTCTTGGTGCAGCCTCGGAGTCGGACAAACGAGGCTAACGAGGATGAGGTGCATGGAGGCGAATGTCATTGGCATTCGGCCTGTAGCATGTCACATGTGCAAGTGTAGTGCAGGATCCTCCACAACCAACACTGTTGGTGA